CACACACACACACACACACACACACACATACTAGCTGTAACAAAACAAATGTCAACTGTTCGCTTAAAAATTATGTGCTATTCCACTTCTATGAGGTACTTAGTAGTCGAAAACTATACAGGCAGAGTGGAATGGCACTTGCTGCAAGCTGGAAGGAATGAAAAGTCATTGTACTGCCAGTTGTAGGCACACACATTCAGTTTTACATGTGAAAGAACTACAGACATGGATGGTGATGGCTGTATCACACTGCGAATGTGCCTGCTGTGCCACATTATACACTTCAAAACGGTCAGTCAATATGTATTACGTGTATTTTACCACAATGACAAAATACTAAAGGGAAACAAAGTTATGTACTATTCATTAAAACACATTTTGATGAAAAATTTCTATCTTAACAGAAAAAAGAAATAATTCAATAAATATTACATAACCACTGGCCTGCTTTTATACATTTTAACATTTTGTCATATTTGACATTAATATTCTCAAATGGGATACGTGTTAATGGCTGATTTAACCTACGGGTTAGGTCAGGCATGGGCAACCTTTCTCTATAAAGGACCAGGACAGTAAGTATCCTCAGCTTTGCAGGCCCCGTGCCCACAAGTCCAGAGCACTTTGCCATTGCAACAGGAAAACACACATGGCTATGGCCAAATGTGGTCCATGGAGCCCATCTGCTGCTCTGATTTTGACTCATATAAATTTGAAAAAAACCTCAAAAGAAATCACAGTCAATGGCAAAAGAGACATATTGCATACTGCTGGGCATCATTTCCAAGCTGGTAGTCTGCTCAAAAATGTTGAATGGCCAGAAGTTAAACAGAATTGTGTAGATTTTAATACTATAGGGTTACTCAGAGGCTTGCATAAACATCAAAATAAGTTGCCGAGAAATGAAGTTTTAGGGTCAGCAACATAGCTCAGTAGACTAAAGCACCTGCTCAGGCAGGCGCAGGGAGCAGGGTTCAATCCCCAGCATGCAGTGAGAGCCCGGCCCCCAGCGTGTGCTGAGACAGCAACTGAAGCTGCTGGAGTGCGCCTGTAATCCCAGCACTTGGGAGGCTGAAAACAGGAGGATCACGACAAGTCCAATCTGTGCAGTGAGATGCTGGAGACCCTGTACTAGATTACATTTTTAAAAAGAAGAAGAAATGAAGTTTTCTAGCAGTATACCAAATAATAGGTAATATTACTGGAGGTAATAAGTAAACAAAAAAGTAGGGGAGGGTTCAAGAAACAAATCTGGCTTTCCCTCCTTTTATTCCCTGCAACATTCTTTTTTTTTTTTTTTTTTTTTTTTTTCCTATATTTAGGACAGAGTCTACAGGTTCTACAGGGTCTCACTACGTAGACTGGACTCCTAGTGATTCTCCTGTTTTCAGCCTCCCACGTGCTGGGATTACAGGCACACACCACCACACCCAGTCTCCTAACAGACAGTTTTTAACCTTTAAAATGGAAAAAAAAAATTCTCTGGCATGGTGGCACACGCCCATAATGCCAGCACTCAGGAGACTGAGGCAGTAGGATCCACATGAGTTTGAGGCCAGTCTGAACTATAGCGAGACCCTGTCTCAAAAAACAAAACAAAGTGGGAATGATATCACTTACTTCTGAGTTACTATTAAGTATGAATATGATAGTGCCTTGCATATAGTTATCAACTCAAGTAGTTAAATTCATATACTGAGAAAAATCTGGCAATGCACTGGCCTAACACAATCATAAATCATCTACGTGTTCACTACAGAGTAGCCCACCTGAAGTAATACCAGACATCTAGATATCCAAGACTTAGATAAAGGATCAAGTGAGACCTACACTATCATGAGTTGCAAGAACTGCATGAAAACAGGAAATTATGTTTATTCAATTGTGTCTACATAGATTAATGATACTAATCATTACTTTGGGTGCTAAAACAAAATGAGGAGGCAGGTTTTGAGACAAGGTCTCACTATGTAATCTAGGCTGGCCTATAACTCACCAATCTTCCTGCCTTAGTCTAGAGTGCTGGGATTACAGATGTGCATCGCCATGCCCTGCCAAAATTTTTAATTACTGCTTACTAAATGCAATGCTTATAAAATCATTTTATAGCTCAAACTGAAACAAAATTAAATTCTCCAGATTACCTTATACCTCTCGTGTTTCCTACAGAAAACATATAAGCCAACACAATATACACAGAACTATTATTATAGGTAATTGTTTCAAGGACAGACTTTATCAGGGTTGGGGCCATAGCTCAGTGGCGCAGTATCTGCCTCATGCACAAGGTCCTGGGTAAATCCTCAGCACTGAAAAGAAGAAGAAGAAATTACATTCAAATATGAGTACAGGTGCCAATAAAGATAACTACCTTATTTCCATCTCCAGAGCCATCTTTACTTGTCCCATCTTTTGAAGCGAAATATGCTGGTGTTTCTGAAAAAGTTCTAAAGGGAGCTCTGCGCAGAATCTGAGTTTCAAAGGTCCCAAGCCTTCCTAAAACTGATACATGAATGCGACCACAAGAGATACCTGAAAATAAAAAGACATGTATTATTAGTCTACACATCAAATATTGGCATGCTTCAATAAAAGCCTTTGAAACAAACAAAAATTTTTGAGAATAGAAATTTAAAACTGTCATTTTCACAGCAATAGGACATACCAATAAAGAAAACAGTTATCATCGGAGGCAAAGTCCTCTCAAAAGCAAGTCAGGGGCCGGGGAGATGGCTCAATGGATTGATTAAGCGCTTCCCTGGCAAGTACAAGGACCTGAGTTCAATCCCTGGTTCCACAAAAAAAAAAAAAAAGCAAGTCAAGCAAGGGCCGCTGAAAAATTTCAAGTAAATAAATATTTCCTATGTCTATTCTTTCAAAATGAGGCAAGACCATGCAGTTCTTAACAATGTGTGGCTCTTTGAAAATGTGAGACTGTGTTCCACACTTGTTGAGGCCACTTATAGTAAGGTTTTGTTTTGTTGTTTTTTTGAGACAGGGTCTCACTGTGTAGCCCAGGCTGGCCTTGAACTCAGTGATCCCCTTCCAGATGTGCACCACCACACACAGCAGGTTTTGTTTTGAGACAGGAGCTCACCATGTAATCCTGGGTGGCTCTGAACTCCTACCCCAGGCTGGCCTCAAACCCTCATGCCTCATGTCTCCTGCCTCTTCCAGAGTGCTGGGATTACAGATAGACACCACCATGCCCAATAATTACTCCTGGATTTCCACCAATGAGAATATATCTGACAGCTCTTCTCTCTTCAGTTACAGAAGTAACTGAAACAAGATCAAAAGTTAAAAACAGCTGTACGAGCTGATGTGGTGGTGCACCCCTGTAATCCCCCCAGCCTGTAATACCACCACTCTGAGGTAGAGGTAGGATGATTGTTGGGAATAGAGACCAGCCTGCCTGGGCTACAGAGTGAGTTCAAGGCCAGCTTGAACTGCAGGGCAGAAATCCTGTCTGTCTGTCTGTCTGTCTGTCTGTCT